GATCTCCCAAGTTTGGAGGAATTTGCTTTCCTCTGACTGTGTACTAGTATTAATGCTGATTCATGCACATAATGTTCTTACCATTTGCAGACAGTTTTCACTGTGTTACCTCATTTTAACCCTAAAACCATTTTATGAGATAAACAATATTATTATCTTCATTTTGAGAAATGAGTCAGTTTGTCCAAGACTATAGGGTTGAAAGAGAGAGATTCAAAACTTGAGCTCTTTTGACATTATTACTTGGACTATGCTTTACTGTTTCCTCACTTTTCACACAGCTCCGAACTCGATTCGAACTAACAATAGTTTCATAGACTATTCTGTACATGGTTTTACACTATGGAGTATATCGAAGAATCTGAGTTCTGAATTCTAGCTTTGCTACTTCTTTGCTGGGTGATACTGGACAAATTATTTCATCTATCTGGGCCTCAGTTTCTTTACTTATAAAATGGCAGCCAAAATAGTGTCTACATTATAAGTTTTCAAAGAGAATTAAATGACAAAAAGTTGCTGTAAAGTCTAGCAGAGATCATAGCATGACAAAGATCATATTATATTATATCACATTATATTATATTATACTTAATCTTGTTTAGTTCCATCATCGGTATAAAAAAGGGGACAATATTAAGTATCTTGCAGGTATATCATGAGGTTTAATAAACTAACACTTGTGAAAGTGCCTAACACAGTATTTGGCATATACTAGGGACTCAATAATTGTTAATTTCCAACCTAGCTGCTTTCTTTCTGACTTCGAAGAGGAAATCAATAAATGTTTACTGGATTTTCAGTGACTTCTTTCATGCAACGATTTTATGACTATTTTTTAGTGGTTCTATACATGGATGCAAGTATTCAATATCAAGGTGACTTTGACAAACTGTTTTAAAGCTCCAAGTAGAATAAAACACAGCGTCCTCTCAGAGAGGAACCATAAAGGAATCTGGAACCTAGTTCAGAGTAATTGCCCAGAAAGTGGCTCCCTGGTGAAAACCTTGCTGACAACCAACAAGCCCACACACGACCTTGAACATGGACCTTGGATTTCAAAGAGAGGAATTTGTCAAAGCAAAGAGGAACGCAAAAGTGATTAATGGTTGGAAAGACCCCCCAGAATTTGTGTTAAAAGTCTAAACTTGAGATACTTTTAAAGCATTGATTCTCAATATTCAGTTTAGTGGATCCTATGTGCCTACTGATAAAACCACAATGGCCTTTTTTAAAAAAATTATTAAGTCAATAATTGGGATTTTCTCAATTTCACATTCCACTTTCATATATTTTTAAATTTTCCCACCACTCCTTGCTTACACTAGAACTTAAAGTACACTGATAAGAAATGTATTATGGAATTACACATTTAGTTATTTTAGTTTCGTAAAATAAATTCACAAATTATTTCATAAATTCTCAGTGTTTGAATATATAAACAATCTCAGAAATGCTGTTAAGATAGTAGTTTTGTTACTTTGGACATTGTTCAGCAGATCAAAAAAAGGCAAACACTGTGTTGCCTCAGATTTAGCAGGGGACCTGATTTCTCAAAAGATAAGATTAATTTAAAATGACATTTTCTGCCCTGGCTGGTCTGGTTCATCGGTTAGAGCATTGGCATGTGGTCCCAAGAGACCCAGGTTCGGTTCCCGCTAAGGACGCGTACCTCGGTTGCAGTTTGTCCCTGGCCCTGGTCGGTTGTGCGGGTGGCAGCCACTCGATGTGTCCCTTTCACGTCGATGTTTCTCTCTCTCTCTGTTCCTCTCTCTCCCTCCCACTCTACCTGAACAAAAGATGGAAAAATGTCCTCGGGTGAGGATTAAAAATAATAATAATAAAATAAAATGACATTTTCTGGTACATGTGTCTCTGAGCAACAGTGAGCACAGAGCTGTGTCCCAATCATTCATCTTTGCTTTTCTGGTGCCAGAGCAGCGCCTGGCGCAGAGTAGGGCCTCAACACATGCTTTCCTCTTTCGTAGAACTTGTATGTATATACATAAAAAATAAAATGGTTTGTTTCAGGAGTGCTTGAATAGTGTATTGAAAGTGCCATGAGGCCCTGGCTGGTTTGGCTCAGCAGTTAGAGTGTCGGCCCACGAACTGAAGAGTCCCGGTTCAGTTCCCACCAAGGGCATGTACCTTGGTTGCAGTTTGTCCCCAGCGGGGCTTGGGGTCATGTGGGTGGCAACCACTTGATGCCGCTCTTTCACATCGATGTTTCTCTCTCTCTTCCTCCTTTTCTCCCTCCCGCTCTATCTGAGGATAAATGCAAAAATGTCCTTGGGTGAGGATAAATAAATAAAAAAATTAATAAATGAAAGTGCCTTGAAGATGCAATCTCAAATTCTCTTTCCCTCATTTTATTTTTTCACGGATTCCTGCCTCTGTTTCTGACTCGATGTTGCCTATTCTCAGGTCCCTACCCTGCAAACTCAAAGCTCTGGTTTGAATTTCACTTTCCACCCATCTTGTTTTACAAATGAGTTCACACTGTTTTATGTTGTGTAGTTGATGCAAAGCTCTGCACTGGGCAACGAAAGGCCAGAAGCATCAGCGAGGTGTCGTCCTCGTTCTTGGGGAGCTAATGTAGTCAGAGAGAGAGACACACAGGCAGCTAATTACATTGCAAGGCAGACAGAAAAAGTGCTGCAGTTAAAGTACAAATAAAATGCTGTGGTTGCAGAGTGGAAGGAATAATTAATTTGAACCAGGAGGATCAGGAACAAGGAAGGAAAGAAACTAATATTTATTGAGGGCTTAGGAGCTGCCCCAGGCAGGGCTGGTGCCGTCTTTCCTCAGGCTCTGTAGGAGGTTGTGTTTAAAATGAGCCTTGGACACAGACAACAAAGCTGGGATGGGGGCAGGATCGGGAGGAGGGTGTCAATGGGGAAAAAAGGAGAAACATCGGTAACAAAAATAATTAAAAAAAGTTATGCTACAAAAAATTAAATAAATAAAACGAGCCCTGGAAAGATTGTCCACCAGGGCCATGTTGGGAAGGCTCATGATCAGGAAGCAAGGAGCCTGGCCAGTATGGCTCGGTGGTTGAGCATCGACCCATGCATCAAGAGGTCACAGGTTTGATTCCCAGTCAGGACACATGCCCAGGTTGTGGGCCCGATCCCCAGTGGGGGGCATGCAGCAGGCGGCCAATTGATGTTCTCTCTCATCGATGTTTCTATTTTCTCTCCCTCTCCTTTCCTCTCTCTCTAAAATCAATAAAGGAAAAAATTAAAAAAAAAAAAAAAAAGAAACGAGACCATAGGAAGCTACTCTTCTACTGGCCCCAAGGGACAGGGACTGGGACAAGAACCAGCCTCAACTTGAAATGGGGTTGACAAGGGGAAGCGAAAGTTAGGAAGTGTTTGGGAGAATTCCAGGCACAGATTAAGAATGTGAGTAATAACAGGCTCGGTGTGAGGGGAGAGGAAACACAGGGAAGGGGAATTAGAGGAAAGACGAGGTCTGCATTTATGTTGGATCAGTTACTGGGGACAAAGACAGCAGGGATTTGGGGGTCCCGGGGGAGGTGAGATGACACATATGGAAGTGTCTGTTCAGTGGGGAGGGAGTCAGTCCCACGGTTCCAAAGGAAGCAAAGCAGAGCGGATGTATCAGCTGCTTTGTTTTCTTGGGTGCTTAGCTCTCCAGCACGCTAGTGAGTCTTGGCCTGTGCCTGGAAGAGGGAGCAGCAACCCTTGTTTGTTTGTAGCTTCCTCCTCCCACTGAACAGCGCACTCCTTGGGAGTAGAGATCGTCCTTCCCCCAAAGAGCCTCGCAGGCATGTGGCAGCTATTCACAAATCATATTGCTTCATGACAAGCAAGCAGATACATTTCAGCCGAGGCTCGAGAGGCTAGTTATGGATTTTACAGGGTTGTGGAAATTTAACCTGAAGATTAACCACACAGTCACAAAGTAGTTTAAAGCCGTTTACCACTTTACGATCAAGAACTATTTTTAATGCCATAATTTTACAGAGAGAACATGGTGTCAACTGATTAACTTCTACAGTAATCTGTAAACTGCGTATTCCATTTTCTTGTTTTGAATAATGAAAACATTTAGAGTTGCATCTTTACGAGGGCTAAATAGGCCAGGCAGTTTGACCATCTTAGAATAATTAGACAGGCCATGGACAGTGTGGCTCAGTTGGTTGGGTGTCACCTGTGCACCAAAAGGTTGCTGGTTTGATTCCCAGTTAGGGCACAAGCCCGGGGACATGCAGAAGGCAGACAATCAATGTTTCACTCTCACATTGATGTTTCTCTCTCTCTCTCTCTCTCTGTCCCTCTTCTTTCCTCTCTTCAAAAAATCAATAAAGCCCTGGCTGGTTTGGCTCAGTGGTTAGAGCGTCAGCCTGCGGTCCAGAGAGACCCAGTTTGGTTCCCGCTAAGGGCACTTACCTCGGTTGCAGTTTGTCCCCGGCCCTGGCTGGGTCGTGCTGGAGACGGCCACCTGATGTGTCCCTTTCACATCGATGTTTCTCTCTTCTCTCTCTCTCCTTCCCACTGTATCTGAGCAAAAAATGGAAAAATATCCTCTGGGGAGGACACACACACACAAAATCAATAAAATATATTTTATAAAGGAAGAATAACCAGAGAATTTTGCATCATTAGCCGGTGGATGCCTACCTCCCCTGCAGCTTCCCTCGTTAGTGTCTCGCACTGAGCAAAGCCCAGCTCTCCTGAAAACCACTACAAAACATTCTGCAGACATTTACGGGACAGATCCAACTGATCTAAACTATGATTAATTTACAAGTGAGGATGGTATAAGACAAATTTTGTTCTTATGTGAGATAACTTAGGGAAATTTATAATATTGGGGCTTAAAAATGGTTTCCTAACTTACATGAAGGGCTAAACCAAAACAGGGAATTTTGTGGTAGACATGTCCCTTTTGCCTTTCTGTGCCTGTGATAGACACCTATAATCTATAACCTATAACTTATAATGCCACTCTTTTCTTCTGAGCCTAGAAATGACTTTGGAATCCTCAACACAACACCATAAGCAGCAAGAGGTTGGGACTGGCCTGAAAGATGAACCAGACAGATTATTGCTCCGAAAAAATAGTAAAGCCCTCGGGGTAGGTCCCAGGTCCAACTCAGGACTTGACATAGAATAGGTTTTTAATACATAATTGTTGGAATGAATGGTGGAAAGAGAGCTAGATGAATTAATAAAAGCATAAATGGTACAGAGAGACCCGGGTTCGGTTCCCGCTAAGGGCACGTGCCTGGGTTGCAGTTTGTCCCCGGCCCTGGTTGGTCGTGCGGGTGGCAGCCACTCGATGTGTCCCTTCACGTCGATGTTTCTCTCTCTCTCTCTCTCTTCCTCTCTCTCCCTCCCGCTCTATCTGAAGAAAAAATGGAAAAATATCCTTGGGTGAGGATAAAAAAAATAAAATAAAAAAAATAAAAGCATAAATGAAATTTCATTCATTTTTCTAATACTGGTATAGGAATGTCTGTAGGATGCTTCCTTCTCTGTTGTAGGAAATGTACTGCCTGTCACCATAGCCTTGTGAACACCAGCTCATGGAATGACAGTGGAAAGAGCCTAGAGAATATTTAGTGACAACTTTTCAGTTTTACAGAGATGGAAATAAGGTGCGGAGAGGGCCTCATCTGTAGAGCAGGTGCTGGAAGAGGGAGCAGGCAGGGTCCTGTTTCCACACCTTGCCAACCCTGTGGCCCTTGGCATCTGCTTCATTGATAAGGTGGGGATAGTGATCCTATCTGCCTGCAGGGTTGTTGCAAAGCTTAGAAAAGATAAGGAATGCAAAGTGCTCATTGTAGTGCCTGGCACATGCTAAATACTAAAAAAAAAAAAAAAGTTAACTTTTCCTTTTTTCTCCTTTTCATTAATAGTAGCTGAACAAGTGATGGAACTATAAGTAGTTTTATCATATTATATTTTGCTGTGTTTTCCTCTTTTCAGTGTATTGAAAAGTCTTTCAAACCATCCCCATTTTAAATGCCCAGAAATGAAGACAAAGAGAATGGATTCTTATTAAATAAGAAAAAAGCATTTTCTGTGTGCAAAACATATAATTCCCGAATGTCACGCTATTATCTTTGGCTAATCATGTCATTTCATAATAGATGACATGCTTCATGGAAAAGATAAAAGTTGTCTTTAAATAACACACCAATAAAATTTAATGAAAAACAAGTGGGCTGGGTTCTCCTTTTTAAGAAACTCAGCATTTACATTATATGTTGGAACCTGCAGGTCAGTAATTGGTTGGGGGCTGGGGGAGCAGAACAGGAAAGTTGCAGTTGGCTCTGTGTTGGTTGCCAGGAAACCTACAATAGCAGCAGGAACAGATGAAACAACAACTCCACGCTGCTGGGAAGGCGGCCTTCTGAGGGGAGGCTTCACTCGGACAGAAACCTTGCCGCCGCCCCATCTAATGTCTCCAGACAAGAAAATGGAGTTTAAAGCCACAACATGTTAATAGAAACAAGGTTAGCCAATGAGGGTTTGAGTTGCTTTTCTAATGCATTTGAAATGAGGATTAGAAGCTGCCCTCGGTGTCAGTTGCTATAAACATGGGGGAAGCTTTACCCATTATCAACCAAGTCAGGTTCAGCAGAGGATAAGGAGAGGGTGTTTTAAAACAATTAGACTGTGGACTTTGAAAATAAAGTGTGGGATGAAGGGAGTGGGGGTTGAGGGCTTTCATTCTCTACCTCTCGTCTTGCATGCTCTCCAGGACATGCACTTTCATTTGGAATTCTATTGCTAAGTTGGGTTTCTTTTCAAAGACACCTGTTGAAGGGAGAAAACCACAGAAACAGTTGACGTCTTCCGAAAAGAGGTGAAGCTAGGATGAGACGCCGGAGTGCTGCACCGGGGTTGGACCAGGGGTCCCAGCCTGGGCCAGAGCGAACGGAACGGGGAGACCACGGCACCGCCCTACTTGAAAACCAACTCAGTGCAGGCGACTTGGTCAAAATCCAGAGGGCCTTCGAGGTACGCTTCCGTCTTACTTTCTGGAGACTTGGGGTTGCTCCTGAAGGAGACTACAGCGACGCAGGGAGGTTTTTCTCTTAACATTGTTTCTATATTTAATGGTTAAAAATAAGTCCACACGGTGACAGATGATTACTAGATTTGGTGGGATGATTACATTATAAGGTATAAAACTGTCAAATCACTATTATTTTACATCTGAAATTAATAGAACCATGTAAGATTAGATACCAATTATACTTAAATAAAAAATAAATTACTAAAAAAGAAATATAAATAAAGGTATTAGTCGTAAAAATAAAACAAGGGAACGGAAAAGAATTGGCCAGGCTTGCATTTAAGACCAGAGTAACTTTATCCCTCCATTCTCCCAGCCTAATTATATTATTTAGTATGAAATTGCTGCTGTTGAATACCATTAACATGGAGGAAGGCAAATTAATTCTTGCACACAGTTCTTCTCAGGCATCAACCAAAAGTTATGGCTATGAATGGGAAAAGCCAGATCTCTAAGGCTCCTCCCAGGAATAACTGTCCTTGCTTATGACAGGAAAGTAGAACCCTGGAATGCAAACATGCATCTCCAGTTTGAAAAAACTCCTCTTGCCTCCCCCAAGTGACCCAGCTCCTTTTCCAAGCTGACTTGAGACTTCATTGTCTGGCGATGCCATCGGAGGGACCCGTCTCCCACTCTTTTTCTAAATATTGGAGCAATGCCGATGAAAACAAAATTTTAAATTTTCCATTTTAATTCTACATATAAAACAAACCCTAGGAATTTGAACTATAAATGAATTTTTTTTTTTATCATAGTTAATTAGTTGGGGATTCTGCCGCTATGCACCATAGAGAGCACGCACCAGAATGACTAGTTTCCCGGGCGCACAGGATGAAGCGCTCTTCTGAGCTGTGGAATGTGGGTACGCATGTGCCTCCATTCTTCCTGCGTCATTATGTTTGCTAAGTTATGATCTCGGGGATTCAGAAGGTCCTCCCGGGGTGCTTGGAAGTGTTCATATTAATTTGAAATAGACACACAATATTTTGGAATATTACCTTGAAATTAACAAAGTATGATGAAATCTAACAACTCTAATATCCTGTAGTTGGCACACGTTTTAATCTTTAGCTATCCAAAAAGAAAGTTGCTAACCACTGAAAAACTGCTGTACTGTGCTTTGTGTAACACGTTAGATTTTACCTGTGTGCATAAATTAATGTCCCAATAGTATCAATCATTTCTTTATAATAGAATCTATCATATTCAGTAGCAAAGGCACGTTCTGCTCCAGACTTTTCTCATTCTAATCTTTATATGTCTGCTATTCAACCAAATATACATTTGCTAAAAACCCCATTTGTCTGAAAGACTTCGTGCTGCTCATGTCCGATGCCCCAGATAAATGTGGTATATTTTGATAGACAAAACAAACATTTTTGACAGGACATTCAGAAACACCACGTATCAGCAGATTATGACAGTTTTGACTCTAGAATGAATGGAAACATGGCAGTTTTGTTCTGGTGCTAAGAACACAAAGACTTCGAATGCTCAGGTGTATTAGGAGAGTCAGCTTTACAAAGTCCATATGTTAGAGAGCGAAACCACTCAGAATGTTTGGGGGGCGGAGGGGTCTTTTTTTAAAATTACTGATTGATGATCTGGAGTAAACCCATGTGAAATTGGTCAATTCAACCTCAGGATTTTTTTTTTTTTTTTCTGTTTTAACTTTAAAGTTTTTAAAGGCCAGACCACTTATTTTGAAATAATTTACCAGTTGGAAAAACACAAATTACTGATGGGAGAAGAGATTGTAGCCCAAAGCTTGCATAGAGAATCTAATGGCGGTTTTTAAAAAAGAAACTGAGCTTTGCAGGCATACCATCAAGAAAAAATGAAGTCTGTCCATTTTTAGCAGACTCTATGTACACAGAATGGAATAAATCAATGGCAAATGTTCAGGTAGGGCTAAAGGTAGGCCCTTGAGCCAACACTATTTCCAAACACAGCTTGGACACTTAGAGAAGAAGGATGCACCGGGCGATTTCAGTGGGGTCCAGTCCATCTGTCATGAGTGTTAGGCTCACAGGCTGCAGGCACAGATAGAGCTATAAAAGGAAAAATTGCCCTCGGCAGCTGTCCGGCAACACAGAACTGTAAAGGCAGTGATTTATAGCTCAGTCAGTGAAGACATCAACTTAGAAATGCTGAGATTCTGACATTAGACCCCTTTATCTCTCTCTCTCTCTCTTTTAAATATGTAGTTTGCTTATTTGGATCTGAAGAGTTGTCAGACAGTAGGTCAAATCCATCTCCTTTAATCACACTGGCGATGCCTAATCGGGATTTCAATTGTGTAGCAAATGTTTCACACATATTTCCAAATGGACTACTACATACCATGTAACTCTCAGTGGTAACATTTAGGAATGAAGTAAGTAATGCTTACGTTTATTGTATGACAGTACAAATGAGACACAATCACTTAGCGTTGGAATTCCAGTTTTGTCGCTTACAATGTGACTCTGCAATTCACTTCACCTCTTGGGGCCTCAGTTTTCTTCATTTCTAACATGGGGATTAAATGAGATACTCTCTGCAGAGGACTCGAAAGAGTGAGAGCCCAGTTAACAGCTCTCACATGTTCAGTGAGTAGAGGTCGAACCACATGGTCCCTAACGTCTTGATTCTAATTCATGTATTTCCTAAAGATGATTAAACTTTGAATAGCACACATTCTTTGTACATTCCTTTTAGTTGTGGTAGGAAGTGAGGGTGATAAGCTTTGCAAAGACATAAACTCACATAGAAGAGTGCAAACGCATCATTTTCCATCCCCCACTTTGTATTTTATTCACTTTCAAGGGATTTTAAATGATGCCTTGATCCTCTTCTTTAGAATTGAAAAAGTTACCTTGGAAGAAGTACTAGAAAAATAACTTGTGAATTTCATTTTCTTTCAACTGTTGGTGTCCAAAAGCCATATGTCAGCTTGAAGGGAGGGAAACTTGTATTATTCATAGAACTGTAAAATGGCTGTTACTCAGACTTTCCTGTAGCACTTACAGGAGAAGTGACATGGTCTCTGGATATTCATATTATTTTGATGTCAACCGTATTTTACATTTTCTTAGATACTTCAAAAGCCAGCTTTGTCTAAGGAAGGGTGGCTGTGGCTTGCTGATCTGATAGGAATGCTGAGAAGTTATGGGCCAAGGGAAATACCTGCCATATATTGAATTTCTTTCTAGAATCTGGCTCTGTAGGTATTTGAGTATTTCTTTCTTTCTTTTTTTTTTTTTGTAATTCCTCACTATTGACCCCTACATGGCAGGATATTCTGTTCTTTGATCCTGGTTGCCCTGCTGTCTATTTGGCCTGGGACTATAGTTTGCCTAGCCTGCTGGACTCACTGGATTGGGTCCTTACTGCCTCTGCCAACAACTATCTGTGTTTGTTCTGGCCCAGGGGATGCGCCCAGAGCCAGTGGCTGGACCTACGTGTCTACTCCATGCTGCCATTTGCCCCAAATCCTGTGATTTTGAAATCTCTTAACCCAAGTGTTAAGGTGGGGTGTTTATAGTCAAAGTGGGAAGGGCCCAAAGCAGTTCATTGTGAGAAGGCATGGTAAAATTCTGAGCAGGAAGTCCCCAGAGATATTCAGGGAGAGTTCTCAGAACAAACTTGTCTTGGAGTGAATAGAATGTAAACACAATGCACTTGTGCTAATGCATCTCAAAGGACCAGAGAAATTCAGGAGGGAGTTATGCAAGTCTGAGAATTGTGCTTGACGTGTAATGAAATGAAGAAAACCACAGAATGTGTGATATCCTCATGCTTGATTGTCTTTATATCATTCCAAAGATGCTGCAGACAGATTCTACAGCAGGGCCTATCAACAATGCTTTTTGCTCCGACAGGTCAAAGCTGAGGGTCTGACACCTTGCCAGGCAGGCTCAGCTTTAAGGGGATCAAGAAAACCAGATTTAGTTCTTTTCTATCTTTCCACTATTCATCCTTTTTTCTAAACTCTCAGGATTTCTCCCAATTAGTTTAGGAACAGTCTTCTCTTGTGTTCTCTTTGCCCATTGTATCTTCACTATCAAGTTATCCAAGTGGACAGGACTTCCCGGACGTGTCTCATGTTCTAGAACTATCCTGATTTCGCTTTTTTTCTTTCTACCCCGGGAATTAAACACATAGCTAAAGTCACCCACCCTCATTTCCTTTCCTTTCCTTAGAACTGTTAGATTTTTGCTTCTCTCTGACAGAACATGAGACAGTCCATAAAGATTAAAAAATTAGATAAAACTGATGGTTAAAAACTCTGGTGCTCACTTTGGCAGCACATACACTAAAACTGAAACAATGCAGGGAAGGTTAGCATGGCCCCTGCACGAGGAGGATGCACAAATCCGTGCAGGAACACCCCACCTCCACCAAAAATACTCTGAATGTTATGTTATCCAATAAACTTCCACAGTAGAAAACCTTAATTTTTATAGAGTGTGCAAACTGTAAAACAGCTGAAACATGATAGAGGTTTCTTTCTCACTCATGTAAAGTAGAAAGTGGGTATTTCTAATCGGTGGAGCTCCAAGCAGAGATTTAGGTACTCCGGCTCTTTCTAACTTCTACCTTCCTTGCTTGCCATGCATCAAGCTAGCATGGGGTGGGGGTGGGGATAGGGGCATGAAGGAGCACATGGGGAAGGTTTTGTGAGCCAGGCTCACATCCAATTGCAAGGGAAACTGGAAAATGTAGACAGGTGTGTGCCCAGAAAACAATTTCAGCCAAAATACCTCTCTCCAAATAAGTCAACATGCTTCATTTTGTAAATGAAGGAGAGTCATGTGCCTAATGGTGTTTTGTGTTCTGCCTTAGCTGCCAGGAAGTTAAAAGCTAAATTTAGTGTTCAACTGATAGAACTATTTTTAACATAGGCTTTTCTGGAACAATTATCTGCTATTTTCATTATATGACTCTTGTTCTTTTATCTTTGCTTTAATGGTCCAACTGCCTATGAACCTTCTGTTGTAACTGAACTAAAACTCTTTCTGGAAATCAGTGGAGATAAAATGATGAATACAAATTTAATATCTTTCATGGATGGTAAGATTTTTATAAAGCACTTCTGTAAGTATTTTCTTATTTGATCCTCCCACCAACCTGAAATGTAGGCAGGACAGACATTTTTATTTCCCATTTACACATAAGGAGAATAAAGCTCAAAAATATTTAATTGAATTACTCATGGGGCAGACAGAACCAGAGCTCAGGGGGTAGCCCATTGAATGGAATGGCTACCCCTGGTTACAAGACACCCTCTCTTTGGGATGTTGCTCTAAGGGATAGGATAAGGACTTCATTAACAAAACGAGCATGCTAAGTTAATAGCACACAGGCACTGTGTCTCAGTAACTTGGAATTAATATGTAATCAGCAAATAATCAACAATTCCTACAATAAAATTAATGCAGAGAAAGAATAAAAGAATTAAAAAAAAGATCAGAATAACCCATTGCATTTATAAACATTTTTATTTTTCTTTCTAAAGGCATCTCAATGAAGACTTGTGAGAAGGTACACAGGTAAAGCTTAATTTAAACTCTATTATATAGTGCAGAGTGCAGTCAGCAGCCTCAATCAATTCATCACCTACCCAGCACAGACAGCAGGTCACAGCATTTCTCACCCCAACTCCCTTAGTGGAATCAAAAACCCTGTTTTTGATAGCAGCAGAAAATCAGTGAGGCTCTGCAGGTCCCTCTCCTCAGTATTAGGTAACAGCATGAAGACAAACCCAATACCACTGCAGCTGGCACAATTGGAAATGACAGAGGACTCTGGTGGTTTTGTCTGACTTGCTTGAATTCATGGATGAGGTTAGCCAATGATGTCGTCACCAATGCGCAATAAGTGAAGTTGTGTGTCAACACATATGAAAAATTGGTTTTCCTGAATGCTGTGGCCTTTGTGCTGAATACTGTGACACTGTGATAAGTTCCAATAGCTTCATGCCTTTTCCCATTTCTCTGTGTGCTTTTGGAACAGATGCTTATAAAAGTTAATCTGGACCAGAGAGGGTCATGAGGAGTGCTTTTGGTGAACAAACATTTTAACCTTGAGCTTTGGCCCAGACTAGAGCAGAGAAGGCATCCAGGAAACTTGTTATAAAGGAGAGAGAAGAAAAGCAAAGATGCTTATTGCTATTCATTTGTGATGCATTGATGTAGCCAGACCTGTAAACCAAAGCCTACTTTTTCAAATTTCCTGAGAATTAAAAAACAAACAAACAAGAAAACAAACACAGAACTGTAATTTGTGCCATTTGACTTCATATTTCTCACGTATTACCAAGTACAGCACACCCAATGATGACACAAGACCACACCCACTCTGTTGCTAAAAATGAGAAGCTTCTGAATTGTCTGTTGGTGATTTTCTGACTTTTCCTCAAGACTCTGAGTCACACATGCTCTGGCAAAAGTTCCTGGGGGTCTTTCCTTTCTTCATCATGTCTTACCACTGTCTTGTGGATGTGACTCTCATTAAGTCTTGACTCTCTGGGCACCACCATTCTCTGAGGACTAACAAGTACACCGTTTTCCTCTACTCCTTGACTTCCCATGTGCTTATGTTCTTCCCTAATTCTTAATGCATCTGAGGCCAGGTCTGCATTGTCCAATATGGAGACCACGAATCATATGTAGCTATTTAAATTAAAATGAATCAAAATAAAAATGTAATAAAATAAAACATTCAGTCTCTCAAAAGCACCATCCACATTTAAAGTATTCAGTAGCCACATGTGGCTAGTAGCTACCATATTGGATAGTGCAGATTATAGAATATTTCTATTACTGAAGAAATTCCTATTGACAGTTCTACTTTGAATCCTTCTTATGGCAGCCTACTAATTTGTTCCAGTTTCTCACTTCTGCCCATGTTTATATGGCCAAGGGGCTACTCTGAGCCCCTCTGTTCCTCTGCAAATATATCATACCTCTCCTGCCTTAGAACCTGGAAGCCAACGATTCCTGGCCCCAGAAATAGCAGAAAATATTTTTCTTCAAGCTAATCTAAGACCTATTTTTTCATGTTCCTTCCCTAGGACTGCAAAAAATAGGAATATCCATTCCTTTTAAGGGAATCCTCCCCTCCCCTCTAACCCCTTCTTTACTCTCTTATCTACAGGCGTTTAGTCTGGATTTATGGTTCCAACAAGTCACAATATTATCTGACATTGGAACATTACCCAAATTGTTTTAGTCATGCTGCTCATATTTTAGTTACCTGAATACTTTAATGGTATTTCTGGTAAATGCTGGTGACTCACTTGGAATATTCCTGCCTCTCTCTTCCCTAATACCCAGTTAATGCCTACTCACACTTCATGTTTCAATACCACTCTCTCAGGAAAGTCTTGTCTCACTACCCAGGTTGGATTAGCACCTTACTATGTTCCTATTTTCTGTTCTTTGATCTTCCTGTATGTTCTTTTCGTTGCTCTAATTACACATGCTTTGATAAAGTGCAATGCCACTATTTGTTTGAAGCCATGTAGAACGGTCAGGCAGGCAGAGAGATGTCAGTGTGAAATCCATAGATCTCTGAGGGCAGAGACCACAGGTGCAAATAAGATATCTGGAAGAGAGAGCAGTGTGTCTAATACCAGATCTTAGGAAAATCCTTCAAAGGGTTAGAGAAACTATTGAGGTTGATACAATAAAGAAGCAGGGTTATATCCTAGAAGTAGGACGAGAAACCAACCAACAAACAAACAAACAAACAGAAAAAGAGGGTGTAGCCAGTCATATAAAATTTTATTCATTTTTACGATTTCTGTTTAAAAATCCAAGTAACACATGAAATTCCCTTATGACCATGGCCAACCCTCAAACACTGTACTACTCTTAATGTTACAATATCCAGTGTATTTTTATTTATTTCTATCTATATATGCACATATACATATTGCACATAACTTTAATTATATATATTATATTTACATATATTTTCATTTTTATGCATTCAGGAGGTACCACTTCAAATAGCTGGTAATCATGTGAAAAGATACTCAAACTCATTAGAAATTAGATTTGAAACTCTAGTAAAAAAAATAAGAAGACATCCTTTTTTATTCATCAGCTTGGAAAACATTAAAAAGACCAATAATATTTACTGTTGACAAAGAATTGGGGGAATGGACACTATTACTAAGATTGTAAATAGTCAAAGCTATTTTTAGTAGGTAATTTTCCAGAATATATGAAATGTAAAGTATATCAAAAATATATTTTTCTAGACTTTAAATCATTTTTTATTTTTCAATTACAGTTGACATAAAATATTATATTAGTTTCAAGTGTACAACCCAGTAATTAGACATTATATAACTCACTAAGCTATTACACTGACAAATCTAGTACCCATCTGACACCATATACAATTATCACAATATTACTGACTATATTTAATATGTTGTACTTTATATCCCCATGACTATTCTATACCTACCAATTGGTACTTTTTAATCCTTTCACCATTTTCACCCATCCCCCCAAACTCCCTCCTATCTTAGAGAAGAATCTTAAACATTTCTTGTAATATTGATTTGGTTGTAATGAACTCCTTTAGCCTTTTCTTGTCTGGGAAACTCTTTATCTGTCCTTCAAGTCTAAATGATAGCTTTGCTGGGTAGAGTAATCTTGCTGTAGTGTAGTTCCTTGCTTTTCATCACTTTGAATATTTCTTGCTAATCACTTCTGGCCTGCAAAATTTCTGTTGAGAAATCAAGCGGCAGCCTTATGGGAGCTCCCTTATAGGAAACCAACTGCTTTTCTCTTGCTGCTTTTAAGATTCTTTCTTTGTCCTCAACCTTTGGCAATTTAATTATGATGAGTCTTGGTGTGGGCTTCTTTGGGTTCATCTTGTTTGGGACTCTATGCTTCCTGGACTTGTATGTCTGTTTCCTTCGCCAAGTTTTGTTGTTATTTTTTTTTAAATAGCTTTTCAACTTCTTGCTCTCTCTCTTCTCCTTCTGACACCCACATGATGTGAATGTTGGTATGTTTGAAGTTGTCCCAGAGGCTGCTTATGCTATCTTCACTTTTGGGGGTTCTTTTTTTATTTTTGCTGTTCTGATTGAGTGTTTTACCTTCCAAATCTTCCAAATCTCTGATTTGATCCTCTTACCTTCCAAATCTCTGATTTGATCCTCTGCTTCATCTATTGAACTGTTGATTCCCTATAATGTATTTTTCATTTCAGTTAATGTATTCTTCATTTCTGACAATTTCTTTTTTATGTTTTTTAGTTCCATTTTTATATTTTCTATCTCTGTTAATGTTCTCAATAAGTTCATCTACTCTTCCCCTAAGTTTATTGAGTATCCTTGAATTCTGTAGCTGGTAGATTGCTTGTCTTCATTTTGTT